TCATTCAATGTAAATACTTCATTACCACATTATGAATGAAATAAAACTTCATTTTAATGTAAATACTTTATTACCACATTATGAATGAAATAAAACTTCATTTAATGTAAATACTTTATTACCACATTATGAATGAAATAAGACTTCATTCAATGTAAATACTTTATCATTACTACATTATGAATGAAATAAGACTTCATTCAATGTAAATACTTTATTACCACATTATGAATGAAATAAGATTTCATTCAATATACATATCACCACATTATGAATGAAATAAGACTTCATTTAATGTAAATACTTTATCATTACCACATTATGAATGAAATTAGACTTCATTCAATGTAAATACTATATTACCACATTATGAATGAAATAAGACTTCATTTAATGTAAATACTTTATTACCATATTATGAATGAAATAAGACTTCATTCAATGTAAATACTTTATCATTACCACATTATGAATGAAATAAGACTTCATTCAATGTAAATACTTTATCATTACTACATTATGAATGAAATAAGACTTCATTCAATGTAAATACTTTATTACCACATTATGAATGAAATAAGATTTCATTCAATATACATATCACCACATTATGAATGAAATAAGACTTCATTTAATGTAAATACTTTATCATTACCACATTATGAATGAAATTAGACTTCATTCAATGTAAATACTATATTACCACATTATGAATGAAATAAGACTTCATTTAATGTAAATACTTTATTACCATATTATGAATGAAATAAGACTTCATTCAATGTAAATACTTTATCATTACCACATTATGAATGAAATAAGACTTCATTCAATGTAAATACTTTATTACCACATTATGAATGAAATAAGACTTCATTCAATATACATACTTTATTACCACATTATGAATGAAATAAAACTTTATTTAATGTAACTACTTTATTGCCACATTATGAATGAAATAAGACTTCATTTAATGTAAATACTTTATCATTACCACATTATGAATGAAATAAGACTTCATTCAATGAAAATAATTTATTACCACATTATGAATGAAATAAGACTTCATTTAATGTAAATACTTTATCATTACCACATTATGAATGAAATAAGCCTTTGGCCAATCTAACTACTTCATTATCACATTAGGAATGAAATAAGGCTTCATTTAATGTAAATACATGTACTCCATTACCACATTACGAATGAAATAAGCCTTCGGTCAATCTAACTACTTCATTATCACATTAGGAATGAAATAAGGCTTCATTTAATGTAAATACTTCATTACCACATTACGAATGAAATAAGCCTTCGGTCAATCCAACTACTTCATTATCACATTAGGAATGAAATAAGGCTTCATTTAATGTAAATACTTCATTACCACATTACGAATGAAATAAGCCTTCGATCAATCTAACTACTTCATTATCACATTAGGAATGAAATAAGGCTTCATTTAATTAAATACTTCATTACCACATTACGAATGAAATAAGCCTTCGGCCAATCTAACTACTTCATTATCATATTAGGAATGAAATAAGGCTTCATTTAATGTAAATGCTTCATTACCACATTATGAATGAAATAAGCCTTCGGTCAATCTAACTACTTCATTATCACATTAGGAATGAAATAAACTTCATTTAATGTAAATACTTCATCCCTACATTAAAAATGAAATAAGACTTTTTAATCAATACAAATAATTCTTTCTCACACAACGAAATATATGCTATAATGAATTACATTTTTCGATTATTTTCAGAATCCATCTGACATTATTTGCAATAATGGCACTGTGTCAGACATCCATTGTCTGTCAAAATTACGTAACGTATGACGTCATCGATGGCCAGGTGTCTGAAGCCCTTTCGGTGAGTGTATGATGTCACTGAGATCAACGTCACCAAAAATTGTCACAAACCAAAATAAGCTTTGTTGAAATGATAGTAGTTCCAAAAAGAAATACTTTGTGTTCTAGTCTACGACATTTGTGTCGTTACTTTTCTTTTCCGCACTGCATTAAAAACACAAGAAATAAACCTATATGGACTTGTAAATGTGATCACTGGTGTAATGAGTCCAGATAAAAAACGTGTTCTTGCTTACAATACTACTATACTCAGAACCATGGATACAATAAATACGCGTATATATCGCGTAATACAATTACATGAAAATGAGATCTATATTTGTATGCTTTTATTTTAAGTTTAAACAGCAAATCTTGAGCGTTTTTCTGTCATGTTTTTGTATCTTTCACAGAATAATACTAACAGCAGAAATGGGACAGACAATGAAATGGACATCATAGTTTATTTAGAGAGTAAGGATGACGTCACAATTTACATCCCGTTTTAGGAAATAATCGTATATCTTATTTTGCTCATTTTGTTTTCCATTCTCTTATTTGAATATTATTATTATTATTGTAATTATTATTATCAATGATGGATTTAGTGATCGACCTCGTGTAAATCACCTGTTGCGCTCAATAGCTGTGATGTTGGTGGTCGTTCACTCATTATGTATGACCAGGTGTACAGTGTGTGTGCCCTTGGTCTCAGTAGAGTGTGTATATGTACATTGGATGTACGCTGAATCTGCCCTGGTCCTCAATGGGTGTACAGCGTGTGTGTCCTGGGTCTCAGCTAGTGTACTGTGAGTGCACGGGCCATGGATCTCATTGGGTGTAGAGTGAGTGTGTAGTGAATTGGCACTGGGTCTTACTGATGTTGTGTCCGTACCCGGGGTTCATTGATACAATTTTCACTGAATTTTTTCACTACAAATGCGCTTGTTTGCATGATATTTATGTTTAACACTTTCGTAGATGAAAGGAACTCAAGTATATCTGATTCGAGGGTGTTTACACTTCCGCCTGATTTTAGTGATCCTTGTTTTCCTGACAACGGGGGATGCTCTGATATATGTCTGCCATTTGACAATACTCGTGAATGCGCATGTGCAAGAGGCTTTGAATTGTTAAATGACGGAAAAACATGTGAAGGTAAATTAGGATTAGTTAAATTCATGCTTCTGACCTTATTTTACCGATTATTGAATAATATTAAACTATATTATAAATATTATATAATATTCTTCAAATATAACATACATTTTATTTTAAAGTTGCGATATGAACGAAAACATATATATTTTTAATAATTATGTATGTCGAAGACCAAATTGATTATGAGGTATCATAAACTAAACATGTCTCTTTGTGGCACACACAATAGTATTTGTTTGATGAAATGAAAAAAAAACAAGCACACATCTGCAGGGATTGTCATTGTACATACCAAAATGCATCTAGAAAATTGTATTGTTTCGTCAAACTAATACTTAGCCGTGTGCTACTAGAACATTGATTTTAGTTCATTATATTTATTCATGTATTTATTCACATAGACAACCAAATAACAGTAATGAACATCACCTGTTCACATTGCATCTTTATTATATAATTGTTGATATTTATTTACTGCAGACAATGACGAGTGTTTGTTAGACCCAGATGTATGTACAATCCACTCCAACTGTATAAACACGCCAGGTTCATATATCTGTGAATGCATGGAAGGTTTTAATGAGATATTAGATGACGACGGTGTATCTTGTGAAGGTAAGCTATATAAGACGCCATTTTTCAGACAGCAACAATTACTCTACTTAGACTAACTACTGCAGACTACTGATCTAAACCATGTGGATAATGGTAAATTAAGTATTAGAAACACTCACTTTGAATTATTCATGGTAAATAACAAAGCGTAAAATACATCACTTGTATTGATGTAAATTACCACACGTGCAGCACTGTGAACTGACAGCGCAGTCGATTTCTGAGACTTTCAAATTTATCGTTTTTTGTGATACAAATTGCCACGGACTATGATAAAAATGTGGCGTTATATCCGATTACCCACACTATCTTTTGGTCTTTCTATTAATTATACCACACATGTTCACAAGCACATTCACATGTTTTAAGCGTTCATTTATTACTGTAACACCAATCGTTCGTATGCAAATTAATAAACATGTATGGTCACTTTGATATTCAAATTAGCTAACCTTACATTTGGTATTGTTGTCGATGAAAAAATTGTGGTTCCGTGACTATCTATTGAATTGTAGTCAATGTGTTTTTAATGGAGATGTTTCCATCATATAAAAACCACCAAGATTCCATTCTTGGTCAAGTCATTTTTTTAATATATGTCAATGACTGAAAAATAATCTTGTATGCAGACGACACCGCTATAATGTTCACTTCCAAGGATAGACATGTCAATCGAACTTATAATTGGTTGACTAATAACTACATTTTGTTAGGAACCAAACAACGTGAACTACCCTGTCAACAACTCCCCGTAGTAGCGAGAACACTAGTATAAATATTTTAAATACAATTTAGATTTTAGTGCTTTTTATGTGTATATTTTTGTAATGTATATGTCATTATAGTATTCTTGCTGTATGTGAGTTACTAGTAAATGTCACGTGACCCACTGTAATGCAGTTATTCATTGCTGAGTTGGGCCATCCTGTATAAAAAACGTATAGCTGAAATAAATGCTTGTCAAGTTAGTTGGTCGCTTGTTTATCCGGAGTGCGCCGCCAACCGTGGTAAAAATGTAATGAAATGTGCGTATGGATGAGGAAATACTCATTCGTGGAGGGGGGAAATACGAGCCAACTGTGAACACTCGTCTGTATAAATAAGCTTCGTCAGATATGTGACGTAACAAATCCTTCACAAAAACGTAATATTCAATATTTTTATTTCAGATGTTAATGAATGTGACGTGATTGATGACGTGTGTGGCAAATATGCTGTGTGTACTAATTCACCCGGTTCATATCACTGTCGATGTTATGACGGCTTTGTAGAAGGACCGGACGGCTTATGCGAAGGTAGTCACACGATTAATAATTAAAATAATTTCTATTGTTGCGGGAAGTATCGCCTCACTTTCGCATATGTGTTAGCCCATAACATCTTTACGGCGTCGAATATGTTTTGAATGTCTCCCACATTACATGACAACTTGAGGGCGCCTAGATACGAGCACCACAGTAAATCATGATTCGAACCGTGACATATATATCTTCTAATCAGGTGGACCGATTTTACGAAGATATCTAATCCAAGACATAATGCTATATTTTATGTTTTTCCCAGATGTGGATGAATGTGAATTTGTTGAATTATTGCATATTTTATGTGGTAAATTCGCGACTTGTCAGAATACACCAGGGTCGTATGCTTGTCGGTGTCATCAAGGATTTGAACGAACTGAACTTTTCTGCCACGGTGAGTAAATTCAGAATACTACTGATAAATTCTAACAAAATCTTTTGAAATTGACAATGAATGAATGAGTGAATGAATGAATGAATAAACGAATGAATGAATGAATACTAATATGTTTCGAAATGGAACAAACATAGCATTACTTACATAGCATGAAAAGATGTTTAATCGTAGTCAAATGTTCCCACACTTTCAAATACATATCTTCTGGAATAACTCGTAAAGCCCAAATATTTTTATTTGTAGTCTTAGTTTTAATAAGTACTCTTCTCTTAGATGTTAATGAATGCATTCAGTCAGAAGAACCAGTTTGTACCGTTGGGTCTTTCTGTGAAAACACTATTGGCAGCTATCTTTGCATTTGCGAAGAAGGATACGTAGAAACTATGGACGGTTGTGAGGGTACGTTAGTTCTATGTACGCTTATATCAAAACTTAGAGCTGATTCTATCAATTTAAAATTATGATGTGTTTTTGAATAGTTCACATTTATTTCCCCCTGCCATTTGTATAGATTATGACGAGTGTAGCGAATTAGACCTGTGCCCAGCTGATACAACGTGCTTGAATACACATGGATCTTACGAGTGTACCTGTCCGGACGGATATAGTGGCAATGGAACGAACTGCGAAGGTAGGATATACGTTGGTCCATTTACCGATTGGGACATACTATAGCGATCTGTTGACAGTACACGAGTGAAGACATGCAGCCATTGCGTTGCATTGAGTTATATGAATAGTGATAGTTCACCTATTGAGTGCAAACAGGCAACCCCGGCCTACGTAAAAGAACCCGCCGTACCTGTATGGTTTTTGAAACCAGGGTGTTGAAAATTCACGAAAAACAACTCCGTTTTTACACAGATATTGACGAATGCGCCGAGGGCATCCATGATTGTCACAGTTATGCTAGATGTGGAAATGTTATGGGATCGTACTTCTGCCAGTGTTACAGGGGTTACTATGGTGACGGCAAATCCTGTCATGGTAGTTATATCCACCACTTAAACTTACATTTCGCGTTGTTTCTCAAATACGCAATGCTCACATATCAATAAGTTAAAACAAAATAGCTCTTTTTTTAGTATTTATACATTCAAGTATTTGGTTCATTGCAGACGTGGATGAGTGCGACTTAGCTAACGGTGGGTGTGAGCAATTGTGTGTCAATACACCTGGTAGTTACCAATGTTCATGCCACCAAGGGTTTACTCTACATCCGAATGAGGCAGACTGTGAAGGTAAGTTGTTTCCATATAAGATAATCTACTCCCTATTATAGCTATATACGGCAGAAGACATTAGTGTCATACCAACATATCGTACTAGATGTTCTGCTAATATTCAAAGCTTATCACGCAATGTCATGGTGAAATAGATGAATTAATCTATTAAAATATTAAAATAGACTAATCAATAATAAATGAAATGTAATGTAATGGAATGGAATGGAATGGAATGGAATAGAAAAATCTACAATTCATATTGATGGAATGCTTCAGTCCTAGCAACTATGTATATACCCATGGTAACCTCACATGGACCATTAAAGATGCTTGTATTCTATCTTTTTAATCATAGACGTAGATGAATGTGCAGTACATCCCAGCAAGTGTCGTCAGCACTGCTTCAACACAGAAGGTTCATTTACTTGCAGTTGCGACGATGGCTACCAACTCCATATCGATGGGTTGGATTGCGTTGGTAAGCGGAACATAAGTTATCAACTATATGTATAAACGTGCGTCTTCTTCGCCACTGTACACAGCATTTCTTCATATGTATACTGATAATTACAAGATATTGGACAACACCTCACTCTATATACATGGGGTATTTTTCAGATATCAACGAGTGTAATACAAATAACGGCGGATGTCTAGACGAGTGTATTAACGTACCCGGCTCTCGTGAATGTGCGTGTGGGGAAACACAATCACTGGACGACGATGGAGTCACGTGTGTAGGTAAGATGATGCATATTACTGCACTACATGGGTGAATGAGTAAATAAATGAACAAACATTATTATTTCCGTTGTCTTGCAGATATTGTCAAGTGTGGCGTTAAAAACGGCGGTTGTGAGCAAGTTTGTGAAGAAACCCTGCTGGGAGTGAAGTGTTCCTGCTTAGAAGGATTTCTACTGCATGCCAATAATAGAAACTGCCTAGGTATGAATCAAATACTGTTCGATCGTTTTTCATCTCCAAGTACATCATTATTATTTAATTTTTATGGTCGAAATATGTCTAATGCCATTTTTTCACCTTATATGTTACTACCCCCATCCTTCTTTCTCTGTAGATATTGACGAGTGCTCAGACGTCAACGGGGCATGTCACCACGCATGCGTCAATACACATGGGAGCTACCACTGTGAATGTAGGGAAGGGTACCACATATCGGTCAGAAATCGATATAATTGTGAGGCAGTGTGTGATCCCCCCTGTTTGAATTATGGACAGTGCGTCGGTCCGAATGAATGCCTGTGTCCTGCTGGATACCCAGGACCACGTTGTACACGTAGGTAAAGAAATGTGGCAATAACATGACGTTGTGTTATGTTATACAACATGCGATATTTGTATAAATGATTTTGAAAAATATTAAAACAGATGTACTAATGCATGAAATTTAAAAGTGTTACATGTAAAATCATTGTTGTATAAAGTACTGAACATCCACAACGCACTATTTCGTATTGTACTGAGCGATGCAATATATAATGAAATATACCTGTGCATACTTTGCCTGCCGACATGTCTATACAAATACCAGGGTTACCCAATGGTCTTAATACTGCAACATCATCTGGTATTTTTTTTCTAGCGATGTGTAATCCACCATGTTCTCACGGTGGTACTTGTCTAAGATGGAATAACTGTGTATGTCCTCCAGGATACAATGGACCGGCCTGCCAATCAGGTAAGATTTGATGCTGCGAACCAATCAGGCAACCGAACAAATTGATTGATATGTAATAGATAACATGGCGTGTATTTTTCATAATAGCTAGCCACATTCTCCCAACTGCGAGCTTGCATGCAAATAACTGAAAAATAAATTGTAAGCGTTTTTGCCTGTAGAAATCGAATATTTATGAATATTGAAGAAAAATAATTCGATATAATAAGTCAGATAATTCGATATAATCAACACATTTTCATGGTTTTGTAAAATTTATTTAATTTTCTTGTTCTTTCCATGATATACCAGCTCGTTGTGATCTACCATGTCTAAATGGTGGTAAATGCGTAGGGCCTAACCTATGTCAGTGTACTGCGGACTATACGGGAAGCTACTGTGAAACACGTGAGTTTATCCTTGATTAAGGTTATCACAGTTTGGTGCGGGCGTATTAGTACACCCCACAAACAAACACATGACCGAGGTTGTAAATATTTAATTTGGATAATTCAACCAAATCCAAATTGTGGTTCGGGGATATTTTCACATTTCTTCGGTTATATTTATTGGATATTATAAATTAACATTTTCACATTTAAATCTACCATAATGTATCGATCATATCGTTGTTTCATAGCTAACTGTTCGCCTCCGTGCAATAACGGTGGTACATGTACTGATGTGAATATATGCATGTGTCTCAATGGTTACAGCGGAGCACGATGTCAAACCGGTAAGATTTACTATGAACATAACACGCCAATTATTATGTTGTATATTTAAGGTTTCCGGGTGATGAACACACCCTCATAATTTGTAATGTAAACTAAATCTGCAAAAAGTAGAGTAAACTGAATGCTGTTATTTTCCATTAGAACTAGCTATTTGTAAACCTGCTTGTCAGAATGGTGGAAAATGTGTTGGCATTGGTCAGTGTGAATGCATTGCTGGCTACACCGGAGCACGCTGCCAAACACGTGAGTACCGCACATAATAGCTTAATAATATATGGAATCTCGAGTGCCTGGCAGCATGAGACGTTGTCTACAGTTTGTTTATATTAATGATTGCGACATATTATACCCATATTCAGAGGAAGTGACGGACTGTCGACCACCATGTCAACACGGCGGTACCTGTATTCCTGGCAATAAATGCGAATGTCTTGAAGGCACTGAGGGATCACGATGTCAAACCAGGTACTAGAAATTATTGTCATTTATAAGTCGTGAGTGTAGGAATCACTAAGAAACTGAGGGGTAATGAGAGGGCGTAGCCCAAAATAACTCCCCGGTTACTGGCTTAATATAATTAGAAGTACAAGGCAAGGTCAACATAATTCCCCATACAACAAATCATTCTCTAACCTCCACCACCTGTTGACGTGGACCACTCAGAAGCCAGTGGTACACCTGTTTTACGACTTCACTGCTTAATCTAACTTCACCCGTCCAACAGGCCAGTTGTTGTAAGTTTGTATTTGGGAATTATGACTAGTAACAAAATGGCTCGTCTCATATTAATGCAATAAATTACCAGCTGTACCACGATTGCTGATTGGCTACTCAAACTGTCAATCACCAATCAGTATGTATCACAATTTATTATGCAGCACACACAAATTTAACCAATGGAAGTATGGATGTTAATTGGTATTACATTTATCTCAGTGTAAGGATTTACTAAAGCCACTATTAATGTGGTATTCCTCGCCTCATCACTTCATATATCACTCGTATACACCGATGTATTTCAATTATGTCGTGTCTGGTTTCTCTTTAAGAACTTGTCCGCTGGTGACTACAGTAGTAGGCGTCAATAGAGCTATTAGACGAGGATTCGTTGAACGTTATCTCGGACCGTGTGGTACATTCGGCTGGAGGACGTGTACCTTATATAGGTGAGTGTGGATAATCCTAACCAAACCTGAGTTACATCTGACCCATGATTAAATTTACCGTGTGGTAAACTTTAGTACAACAGGAAACCTCAAATTAAGGGCACTAAATGGTTCAGCGACTGAATGTGTTTAAACAATCATAAACTGTATTTAAAGTCGTTTTTTATACGAAATAAAATGTTGCATCCTGTTCAAAGATCTACACGCATATGCTATGCGATGCCAAGTTGTCAGACTTTCTTGAATTTTAACTTCCCGCACATTACATTTTTATTTCCACAGAATAACACAGCGACGTGTATACGAAACAACGTACAGAGTTGGGTATAAAATCGACTGCAGTGCGGTGGAGAAGGGTGACAGCAAACAACCATCGGGCCCATTCCAGATACCAGTGCAACCTACTAGACCATGATGTCATCAATGTGTGTTGACTGAGGGTTACAATTGTGTTGATAATCAAATTGATAATACGCGACAATTGCAGTTCATAACATTTCAAACTTCATTTCATTCAAAATATGTTTGATGAGTTTAAAAGTTTATAAATAAAGTAGACAATACAAGCTAGTAAGTCTGTTTTAATTGCCGTTTCCTATAGCACACATGTCTGATACAGAAATACATAAGTCATTTTAAGTTGTCTAGGTGCAGTATGGGTGTGTCGCTTCTCGCTGGCTTCTGCATTTATATGCGGCGAAAACGGGACCTACGTCGAATTGTAAGCAGTCTGCTGCATGTGATACACGAAGAATTGCAAAATATACGATATTTCAATCTTTCAGATTGTTTCTAATTCACATGAATGTATAAAGATTACAGAGACTAGCTTGTATGTTGCTAGGTTACATCCACCATATCGTTCATTGGATTTGATAAATAAATAAATAAATACAAGATATGCGTATATCCACTTCATGGTGATACATTTTATATTAAAATAATTTCTTTGGAGCAATAATTTAAATATTTCATATAATGTATATCTTTAATCACGTCCTCATCGTTTTATTTTGACGGTCAATGCATGCGCAAATGAGAACACAGGTACTGACTTTACTTTACTTTACCCTAAGACTTTGACATGTACGTAGATGTTGATACCAAATTAATGTCGAATTATGATTCTGTATTTAAATTTATAAATGGTGAAATACAACAAATCTAGCGGTACTACATGTAATTGTTCACCTTCGCTGTCGCATGTACAACAAAGTGAGCTACTAGTATAGAATACAGTTCACGATATTGCGCATTGGCGGTTTCATCGTAAGTAGGCAGTATTTGCATAGTTATCACACATACTAATATCTCTTTTAGAGTGTGTGCTTATAAATCCTTAAAACAATTGTAAAATATAAAACCACAATAAGTTTTTGAGTGGAGTTATTGACCACTCCGTATGTATGTGTCTTCTAAATTGAGAATTGTTGTACACTCTGCGTTACCCCATCAGAGTGAAGGAACAATAATTTCTACGGTCATTTTGAATGTTAGACTACTTGACAATGATTTAACTGCATTTCAATAAAATTAATAAATACTTGTTAGTAGTTCATAAAGCCTTGTTAGTGAATAAATAGATGAATGCTGAAATGTACAAATCACACAACGTGAAATCAGATCGCGCACGGCGAAAGCGCGGTGTCGATTTCTTGTTTAATTTATGATTTGTGCGATTCTCGCAAGCAGTTCAAGTTGTCGTACATTTCCTCTATCTTTTGCGCAAACCGTTTGCGTAGTTCTGGTCGCTTCATCTTGAATGTGGGTGTCATTAGTCCATTTTCAATGCTGAATGGTTCCGATGACAGGTATATGTCTTTCACCTGTGTTAGAAAGAAAGGACATTCACGTAAAATAAGACATTATAAATTCACAATAGTATGATCAACTCTGAAGTTAATGCCACAACCTACGTGGTAGGAAATCGATGAAATGAGGCAAAAAAGTGCGCATGCGCCCGGTTTTTCTTATACGTACAGCTAACTCAAAGCGCACGCGCACTTTGTCGTTTTCAATATTTAATACTGATTTGTTTGTTTTTATTTTACGCTAAATCATATGATAAAAAATACTTACATTTGAAATGATAATTGAAATACAAGTGCATTGTACATTATACATACGCAATAAATATTTATATTACCTGCTCAAAACCCTTTAGTCCTGACGACTTGCCCAGTTGTACAATATCCTTCAAAATGGCGTCTTTAATTACCTGAAATAAAATGAAATAAAATATTAATGAATTAATGAACACGTGTTTTAGTATATATTCGAGTCATTATTTACGTCAACACTAATTTAGCTTGTATGACTACCTTGTTATCGCAGAAGTCGTCGAGTGTTCCCGTCAATCCCTTTGACCGAGCCCAAGACGATATGTTTTCGGGATCTGGAGTAACCACAGCAACTAGATATCTCTGTAGTAAAAACAAATTGCACACTATTACTGCCTTGAACATTACCTTCATTGACACGAAATGTACGTATATATCTAAAATATATGTTACGTGCGTTCGCGACACCAATGCGACGAATACGTGACACCAATGTGAAGAATACGCGGTACCAAAGCGACGATTACATGAATACGCGCGACACCTGTGTGATGGATACACGATACCAATTCGATGGATATGCGATACCAATGCGGTGAATACGCGATACCAATACGATGAGTACGCGACACCAATGCGATGAATACGTGACACCAATGCGATGAATACGTGACACCAATGCGATGAGTACGCGACACCAATACGATGAGTACGCGACACCAATACGATGAATACGTGACACCAATGCGATGAAAACGCGATACCAATACGATGAGTACGCGACACCAAAATCATGAATACGCGACCCAATGTGATGAATAAGTAACACCATGCAATGCGATGAGTACGCGACACCAATGCGATGAATACGTGACACCACTGAATGCGATGAATACGTGACACCAATGCGATGAATACGCGATACCAATGCGGTGAATACGCGATACCAATACGATGAGTACGCGACACCAATGCGATGAATACGTGACACCAATGCGATGAATACGTGACACCAATGCGATGAATACGCGATACAAATGCGATGAAAACGCGATACCAATACGATGAGTACGCGACACCAAAATAATGAATACGCGATACCAATACGATGAGTACGCGACACCAATACGATGAATACGCAACACCAATGTGATGAATACGTGACACCAATACGATGAGTACGCGACACCAATACAATGAATACGCGACCCAATGTGATGAATACGTAACACCATGCAATGCGATGAATACGCAACACCAATGCGATGAATACGTGACACCAATGCGATGAATACGCGATACCAATGCGGTGAATACGCGATACCAATACGATGAGTACGCGACACCAATGCGATGAATACGTGACACCAATGCGATGAATACGTGACACCAATGCGATGAATACGCGATACAAATGCGATGAAAACGCGATACCAATACGATGAGTACGCGACACCAAAATAATGAATACGCGACCCAATGTGATGAATAAGTAACACCATGCAATGCGATGAGTACGCGACACCAATGCGATGAATACGTGACACCAATGCGATGAATACGTGACACCAATGCGATGAATACGCGATACCAATACGATGAGTACGCGACACCAATGCGATGAAAACGCGATACCAATACGATGAGTACGCGACACCAATGCGATGAATACGCGATACCAATACGATGAATACGTGACACCAATACGATGAATATGCGATACCAATGCGATGAATACGCGATACCAATACGATGAGTACGCGACACCAATGCGATGAAAACGCGATACCAATACGATGAGTACGCGACACCAATACGATGAATACGCAACACCAATGTGATGAATACGTGACACCAATACGATGAGTACGCGACACCAATACGATGAATACGCGACCCAATGTGATGAATACGTAACACCATGCAATGCGATGAATACGCAACACCAATGTGATGAATACGTGACACCAATGCGGTGAATACGCGACACAAATACGATGAGTACGCGACACCAATACGATGAGTACGCGATACCTATACGATGAGTACGTGATACCAATGCGATGAATATGTGACACCAATGCGATGAATACGCGATACCAATACAATAAATACGGGACACCAAAATAATGAATACGCGACCCAATGTGATGAATACGTAACACCATGCAATGCGATGAGTACGCAACACCAATGCGATGAATACGTGACATTAATACTAGTAAATGTGCGATAGGAATGCAAAACTAACGACTGGTTAAGCCAAACCGTACTGAGTGTCTGTTGTTTTGAAATCAAGGAACGCGAAACTAACATTTGAAATTAAATAAAATAACTGAATATACCAACCTGCAAGCTGTCACCATGTACAAATATTTGAGCAATAAATTGGCTTCTTGTATACACATTTTCGATCTTTTCAGGTGCAATGTATTCCCCCTGTGGAAAAAATGTTAATAGTTCTCACGTTAATACTACCCAAAGTCAAATTCGCTTGAGGATTGACAGCACGCACCAAGCATGCACCGCCCTTCAGCCAGCAAAAACAATTGACAATTTAGTTGACAAACCCAGTTCACCTGAGGTGCGCGGACCACGTCAATAGGAGCGCGCCGCCCCCTTACCGAATTTCTGGATCCGCCAGCGGGTCACAGTTATAGTTTTGTGTTGCCCTAGCAACTGAGCATACTCTGTATGCGGGTACCAAATAACGATGCACTCACCAAAGAATGTGTCGTAGTTTCTTTTTTGTATTTCGGTATCAATGATTAATCCGAGAGAAACACTGGTGTGAGTGTAAACTTACTTGATCGAGCTTGAAAATATGCTTCTTTCTATCAATAATCTTCAACGTTCCGTCCTGCATGATAAAACAACATACTATCTATCAGTGACCATAGGGTGTATAACATATACACGTACCACATCAAGAATAGAATGTCACGTTCTCCATTCTTTGGTATTAAAATAATTAGGCAGTTTAGTATACAATTCTAAATAATGTAGGCCATTGTGTATGTAATGTGCTTACTGCTTGGCCTGAGGCGTTCAGATGGCGCGAGTTAATACATTGATTGACATGGTCAGAGAATATAGGTTAATGTGGTTTCCCACCCACACACTGCCTACAAAATTTGTGATCATCATTATTTACTGTATCGTCTGGATTATACGCAATATACCACGAGAACGACTACTTACCTGTAACCATTTACCAATGTCACCAGTATGCAGCCATCCATCTTTGTCAATTGTTTCGTCAGTCTTCTTCTGGTCGTTATAGTAACCTTTGAACACACTTGGTCCTTTTAGACAAACCTGTAATACCAGTTGATATTGTAAAGACTGCATTTCACTATTTATTCCCTAAAGCCGAGTCTGGCGAATTCGAGCAATGTACACGACATATATAATCACATTGACAGAAATCCAATTGCTTCACTCAAAGTCTACCACAAATAGTCGACTTCCTTACCTCTCCTTCATGGTTCTCAGCAAAATATTCCATATCCGGGACATCGACGAGCTTAATGGAGCATGATGGGATAGGCGGTCCGACTCGACCCGTTTGATGCTCTAGTGGTGACGTCATAGTGGCGGGAGATGCACTCTCTGTTTGACCGTAACAGTCGTATACCTAAAAATCATATATCATAATGTTATATGGGTTACATTAGTCCGGCTATTCGCTGGTTATTGGCGTTTTATAGAACGTTATATACTAGTATTCCTCCAATAAAAACAGCCAATTTACAATGCAGCGCTTATCGAAGCAACTTACGTGACATCCCAAAGCACAACGAGCGAACTGCAGAACAGTCTCCGACATCGGCGCACCACAACTACAAAATTGTTTAACATTACCGCCTAACGTTTCCTGTAAAACAGATACATGAATTCAGTTGTTAAATCGTATTAATTAATCGTTAAATCGTATTAATAATACATCTAACGAATGGTCTGGGTATAGGTGTGCCCAAAGCACACTGACAAAAGATCCTCGCGATCGAAGTGATGATCAACGTACCTGTATTTTTCTAAAGACCAGTCTGTCCCATATTGTATTGTTGCAGATTATTCCCCTAAAAGTCAAAATGGGAGATAATTATATTAAGAAAATCGTTACCAAAATCGTGACAAAATGACAAAATAACCAGACCAAATACATTAAGGAGGCACCCAAGTCTGTAATCATATTAATGAGATTTTGTTGGAATTTTCTTTTGGCGCACGTGTACCAAGATATCTTTCTATACACATTATCCTGGCACATTGCCTTGAAACTCGTATTACTAGTCTGAGCTTGAATGCACCTTGGAGCTAGCTCGCTCCATGAATGCACCAAACCACGCATTGCCGGCTAGGATTTACTGTAAATCATTGTCCTTTGTGTTACTTTGCTTTGTATGACGTGTTACATACCTTCGTAAAAGTGCTGCCTTTTTCCTCATGGCCATGTTGAAAATAATAAGTTTAAAACAGCTAGACGTAACTTGCGATATCACCTATATTAACAAAACACAATACAAATCAAATGACTAGCAGCACATCAGCAATACGTTTATTTCGAATGTAAATCACGTATGTACTCTACTTAGCAGTCTCACTCACCTTATCATAAATTCTGTTCAACACTCCGGGGACAACAGGGACTAATGTCGGTTTCAGTTCCTTGATGTCGTCCATTAATTCACGTACATTTCCACGGAAAAATCCAATCCTTGCCCCTTGCATGTAAACCCATAGCTGTCAGCGAAAACGATAAGATAGTACACATTGGAGAACGTTTCTAATTCTGGTATTCAGTATCACATTGCAAATTCTAACGATCTTCGCGCCTCGCTGTGTTCAATGTGAGTTCCATGCAACTTACATGTAACTAGTCAAAATTCGGAAATTCAAAAGCGTAACTAATTCTTGATATTTTGCTGAGCGAAAAGTTCAAACAAATAAATGAAAATTTGAAAACTTTCAGGAAATTCCTGTCAGCCGCGTCCAAATTCGAACGTACACAGTGTGACGGTAATAGGATATGCTGTAATTGTATGACAATTGTATTGTAATTGATTTTCAGAATTACATTAATTTAAAAAAATATTTTCCAAATATGACAATATATATTATCGATTATAAGATATTTCCATAAAATCGCTTCAATTCATAATATGTTAATTTACAAGCAACCAACCAACAAACAAACATTTCATTTCTCGCGATCATGGACAGCACTGTACGTGTCAACTTTCAAAAAGTACCATGATTCGCGGCTTCAATAAGATGCAGAGCCAGCTTCATTCAAGATATGAGATTTTGACACAACCAACACTCAGTTGATCAATGCACATATTTGTGCATGCTTACGGATTATTTTTTTAGAATTTGACGCAAGTATTATTCAAGCCTCAATTGCTATTATGGTGCAAGGCAAAAGTTGAAACAAATTCCAACAATAAATACCTTTTTCTACTGAAGATGGTTCAAAGTGTGCTGATGCGGTGGATGCAATTATGATTTTAGAATAAGTTGCTGTATCGTGTGAAACCGCTTCACTGTACGTGTCAACTCACCTGTCCGCTTCGTTCATACATGTGAGCCAGTGGTAGATATGATATCGTAATGTCATCGGGCGTCAAATCACCATAACCCTGTGTCGGATATAATACTCTAATCAGAATCACACAGTACTAAGAGCCGGAAACTGATTCCACAGGTTGCAAAAAAAAGTACATGTTGTAGCCATGTGTTGAGAATTACTTGTTGTGTGGATCATTGTATTATTTTTACAAATGATAATACATTGTACAACTAACCTCCTACATACCTTTAAATGCTGACAACATCCAGACATTCCAGCTATTATATTACCATGCGTTACCATAGCTCCTTTAGGGTCACCTATTAATTATAGAAGACATATATTATGTAGCATTGTTTATTTCATACACCAACATACGTGTGATGAAATCCTGAGTGATGATTGAATCATATAGGTCAGGTGATGTGTATATGACGAGGCGGTCACATGGTTCGTGAATGTCACTGTGTCAAACAAATGTAATTTACCTGTTGTGCCACTTGTATAGCAGATTGTTGCCATGTCGTTAGGATTAGGCATCTGAGAATATAAATATGTGTTGTATTAACTAACGTTACTATCATATCTTATACTATACTGGAATGTGTGTGTGTGTTTTTTCATTATTTTACTCCAATTTATATTATTCTACAAGATATTATCATCAATGACAACACTATTTTCAATAACAGATGATGGTATGTACTTACCACTGGCTCATACGGTTCCATCCGTCCCATTTCCTGTCATTATAACAACATGTATTATTAACGATAACACAATTTTAATTCACATCCGTATATATTGCGTGTAAATATTGGGAAATAAATTTGAGATTTAAATCGACGTGTCGTCAACATACAAGCTTCTTATAAATACATAACATACATGCATTGCAACGCAATAACTATACGCCTGAAGATCGCGGCAAACTTAATCGCCATAGAAACTATGGTTTTAAACAATAACTTACTTCCACGTCTGAGAATGAGAGTATTTCCACGGTCATTCGGCGAGCAATGTCTTTCACCTCGTCGGAAACCGGCTCCATGACAACAATTTGTTGTAATATTGGTGTCCTCTCTGCTTTGTTTAGAATCAATTTTGCCTTGGCCTCTCCATCACAAACGACTATATTGAGACCAGCTGCAATATAAATACCACGATGTTTAGTGATATGTTTCACACATCTACACGTGTTTTGATTTGAACAAATACTGTTTGGTCAATTCTGCTACATGTTAGTCATAATCAGAATCAATTAATATTTATTCGTACAATATCGCCCGAATCCTCGTTGATATGCAGTAATAATTCACCTACCCTGGTTTATTATAAAGGTGACTGCTTCTGGACCCAGTGTATCGTACAATGGTACCGTTATCATGGAGTACATTCCACATGCCTGATCCGTCACCACCCACTGCAAAAAGAATTTAGAGAGAGCGATAAAAGGCAAGTTTGGTGGAGGAAAGGCTAGAAGCCAGTCATATAAATACTAAACTTGCATTTTTTATTGTGTGAGCAAAATACATACATAATATTAAAAGTGCTATAATTTTGTTTGAATCATATTCATCGGTATCTAATATTGACCTCAAACTGTCTGATTATTTATATTAACTCACCTCAACCCTGTTCTGAGCATATATACCAACAAGTGTAGATTGTCCGGGTTGGTATCCAAGCTTTGCCAAACCAGAACCAAAATTCTTTGCCCGTTCCAAAACCTATAAAACGAAATTTAAAACTACTCTGAGAAAAACTCAACGTGACACACAAGTACTGGTAAATACTGGTAACTATTGGAAAACCCGGAGTATAAATAAAATCGCTTGTACATCACAGTAATGTACCTGATCGTACGTCAACCACTGGTACGGCTGGTCGGCACCAGACCTCCAACCCAAACATTGTCCATTATCTGCAAAAAATGGTTTAAATTCATTAACAACAGTACTCTAGGCGCAACAAAGCCATTGCGTTCATCTTTATATACATATTTATAAATTTCAATGGCAGTTTAACTTGAATCAACCAATCAGATGTTGAATATAATCGTGTGCAAGACATAATGTCATATTCACGCTACGTGACCTACATACGAGATACACAGTATTATTATTCATACTGCAGTTTGAGTAGCAAAAAACATGTAAATACGAACATAAATTATTAATTAATTAATTAACAAGACTCCACAAACACGATCTGAATTAACGTTATACTTATAACTATAATTCTGATGTGAGTTTGTTCATTTCAAAGCAGACTATTCCTAAACGAATGTGTCACGTGACATATGATTAGTTGGATGAGGACCGAATCTCAAGTTGAATACTTTGCCACACGGAATATGAATGCAATATATTTTGAGCAAAGGTTGCTGCAATCAAACTAATACTCACTCGAAACCCTCGCCCCTCGTCTAAATGCTTCTGGTAACGTTCGAGCGTCTTCGTACATATATTCCAGTAAATTACCGTCTTTGCATAGTGAAGACACCCTGATATATTCGTCTCCCTGGAGATAAACGATCAATTAAATAATTATATCACCATAGTTAGATCACAGGACGTTCCACTTCCCGGGGTCTTAAGTGTTACAAGTAATTATGCCAACCGTGATTCCTTTCTCCCATTAAACCATAGACCCTCAACAAATTTGTTGAGGGTCTATGATTAAACCAATGCGTACAGCTGCGTATAATCATGGGACATTGCGCAATAATCATTCATGATTCATTATCACGAACCTACTCGATAATAACCATTCATATTACGTGTAGCGCGTGGCACGGTGACGAGAGGCTGGCATTTAACAAATCTGTCAACCATGTTAGCAATACAAAAATGAGTTGTAACTATATTTAAACGTGACCTATCTTACCGGAAGTTGAGTGGATTGATTGTTTAGATCATTTGTTGCCGTCATTATATTCTGTAACCTGAAAGTAGCGAATACTGCATGAAGATACAATGAGGAATTAATGCATTTAAATCTACTAGTATAAAGACATACAAAACATCAAAGCTGTGTTTAACTGCTACTGCGTTACACATATACCAAATCAACAATACGGGCCGTTGTCAAATCAGTATTTTTTTAAAAATTAAATCAGTTTTGGTTCATGTTACGATTCCAAAACTTAAAATCCAGAGACTAAAAATGATTTCAATGTAATGGATTGGAACATATCGAAAGCAAATAATAATACATACATTTTTGCCAACGGGAGTTACGCAATGTTTAGTTACACGTGTTTATAATATCTTACAATTGAAATTGTAATATTATAATGATCATATTTGATCGTTCACAGCATATATTTGACAAATCAGTGTGTTCGATGTTTTAGAGAACATTGACAGATAGACATGTCTACCCTTTATGTGAATCGCCATTAATCGAGGGTGAAAAGTGAAAAATACTAAAACAATACAATGAACGTGTCAAAACAAAATATAATATTTTGTGCGATTCAGTATTATCAGTATATGTGAGTAAAACGTCTCAAGCTATATGTGTATGTGCTATATATAGCTGGAAATATTTTGGAGGTGAGACATTGTCGCATCTCCATAGTGGCGTTGAAGGAACTCGATAACTAGAAATTCATCATATGAAACAAATAATTTATAAAGTGTACATCTACAAAATAAACAAAATGGAACTGAGATAGAGTTTTAGTTTGGTTTCGTGTGTCATGTTTTAATGAATATACCATAATTACAGCGACCTACATTAAGTGTCGTGATGCTTGGTGTCATATTATCAGCAATTGCCCAGTCTTCAATATGCTAGCAATTTAATTAAAGAATCTCCCGCTATTTATGTCTGTGCGTTCATCACGCGTGAACACTATTCTCTGTGGCATATCCGTTGTTTTACAGAACGCTGGGCCCCATTATGTTAATTGCACATACAAATACGAATATCCTATAGTCATGGATCCCATCATACACACTTAATGACACGAGCAGTTTCGTTTCAGTAATTAATTACATATACGTAAACACTGCTATATTTGCGTCTCCAAAACGGCGTGCCTCAGTGGATGTCATGCGAGTAAGGTAAAGAACAGTTCATTGAACTCCGTATAAGTCATGACAATGCAGCTGTGTACTCAGGATATCCTGAGGTACACTCCCGCATGTCACGTTATTCTGGGGAAGGGGGAAGTAATTTCAAGTTTCAAGTTATTTGCAACTCTGTTTTTACACGCGATATTTGCCGCCCAATTTATGTGTGCAGTACAAGATATGTTGACATCGTGTCCCCCATTTACTAATTATTAAGAAATTCATACTAGTATATGTCATTAATCATGTGGTGAATCAGCAATAAAAGTTTGATATTCCGTAAAATCTATATTTTCAGAAATACATTTTGCTGGTTGTTACATCTACACAAAAACATACACAGTCACAATACCGGCAACTCCGGTTTGCGTCTGCTACAGTATATAAATAATGTGATTATCTAATTATTTATACAAAATATTTCCTCCATTACGTAGAAATGGTGGTGTGGAACACAGACATGGTGTATTAACTCTGAGCATGATGCTCTGAGCATGCGTGGTTTGATTCACTAAACTGTATATCACGAGAACAATGATGTACAATCATTGCGGAGGCTGAAAACAGGTCAGGCTATTTTATTGATACACTCTGAACGACAATCGATTTTCATCTCTCTCTCTCTCAACGTCATCTCATCTTTTCACCAATTTAACGATACAGTATGTTATCGAGGCAAGTATCACAAGGACGATGAAGCCTGAAGATAGGCATGGCTGCTCCAAAGGACAACATAATCCATCCTGATAAAACAAAATATAAATTTACACACATTTTATCTTGTAAAAAAGCTTGTATAATGTTGACATACCTTCAAGGTTTCTCCGTTTCCACACTGAGAGCTGATCAGTTCTGTAAATTTACTGTTCTTCTATACCGGCGTGCGTAGCAGCAGATAGTATGGCTTTGTGATCTTGTTATTACTCCAAGCTAATTATCATAGCATTATCATAATAATACGGACCAATGAACAACGCCAGCTGTGGGCACGGCGTGTCACGTGGGTGTCTGACTAAACGGACAGATGGGATTGGAATGGGCAGTTTTGAATAGGAGTGGTTACACTGGGCGGATTTAGAATCATTCATAAAAATAATATATGGTATCATGGTATGTGTTACATCTATACATTAGGAAATACCCAGAATTCATCCACAATAAACTTACTATGGAAGAAAGAGGTAGTTTTATATTAAATACGATGCCTGTCTTACCCACATTGGACACCAAGTTACCTACAGCGGACCACAGTCCCTCAACACGATGCCTCCGACTCAGATTTGTCTACGTCTCCTTTCATGTACTCGGCAGCAACATAATCTGGTTCTTCTTCCAATATATCATTCCAGTCGATGTCACTGTCGTCGAAATTTAAAAAATCCTCCCACATCTCGTTAAAATAAGCATCGTCTCTCACGTTGAAGTAAAAATCAAAACAAAGTGCATACGCATGCGTAGCAGTGAATCGAAAAGGCTTCTAGGTAAAAATGATGTCATACCCTATGCTAATTTTATGTTAATAAGCTAAGTAGGCTTGGTCGTCGGATTAACGAATAAACAATTTTACGAAGGCGAAACGCGCATTGAGACAAAAGAAGTATTAACGTTTCCCAACCGGGTGTTGAGGGACTGTGAGCGGACGTAGTAGTACAAACCACATGACACCACTCTCCGTGGATCACGCATGTGTTTCGGATAAATAGGCACAAACAAAGACGTGTCCTTTACGCTTATTCACATACACACCCGAAACTCATTGAACATCATATTGATTGCATGCGTAGCTCTGGTGTATTCAAGTTGCTTGGAATACGTAGTCTCCGAAAATGTCTCAAAATCCGATAACAGACTATAGTATCAGATGTCTACTACCATATCTTATAATCCAGATATAATACAATAGCCGATGCCCGGATTTGCTCGCCAAATCATTGTCGTCATAAGCAGAACGTTCATTTCTGCCTCAAATGTTTCCATAGCGACTACTGTTCAGATTAGTACGTTATCATCCCTTGTATTAATAAATTGAATCTCAATGGCACCATACGTTCAACAAACAACTGCACAAATACACAATACAATTATACAATTAATTCCAAGACACATGGCAGTTCTTAATTCTAACTTTATTGCATACATTCCACCTTCCAAACTAGAAGTAGAACTTCTTCAATATCATTCAGTTCACTCTGCAGTATTTTAAAGATGTGATAAAGACTAACACATATATTTCTTAAATATTGTTTGATACTGTAGAACAAATCGGAATACGATTTTTATCCTAAACTAAAATTGTTGCGTTTGCAGGACACACCCATTGCAGTATTCGTCAGATGACAAATAATTGTACGTACCAAAAAAACAAGAAGAGCATTTGCAGATCATGATAAATTATAGACAAAATCATGATGTATTCATCAACATACAGTATCAAACAACAATTATATACAAATTAATCGTCTACATTGCATCTTTAAATTCCTAAAACGTCTGGCTTTAATCTTGTAAACTTTTCGACAGACTTCGAAGCAAAACCGATTCTGCCATAATCTTAATACTATCACCACCGCCACTAGCACTAGCACCACCACCACCACGTGTCTGTTTAGCTGACAGTATGCATACATACAAATATATAAGCAAGCGTTTATTGTGTACATGTATATAGATGGAACTCAATACGTGTACAACAATTAAAGTTTCCCTACATCATTGTTTTCAAATAAATAGTTCATCTAGACAAGATTAATTTAATAATATAACCTGCGACGTAGGGGTGACACACCAAATAAGCTATAATATTATAAATAATATAAATTCATAAAATCACTTCATTTTAATATATAACCTTTATGACGATCTACTTCTTATAACTTAACTATGTAAAGTTCAAAACATAATGTATGTAAAATCCATTCACCAAGTAAACAATATACCAGTATGTAAATATTTTAATAATATGCTAATAATATGTAAATACATTAAAATATGTATTGTATTAGCAAAAATATATCGTCAGATCTACACGTAATCTTATTACACGATACCCCCTTGGCATTGATAACAATACTCGGCCCGTGGTATCATCAGTACCATCGTGGTATGTAAACATTTATAACGCTGGTCGTGACAATTTACATTTGAATTCATTGTTCAAATTGAAAACCAACCATTTAGTTACGACCTATTTAATAATAATATTCTTTCAGGGTTAACTGCTGTCGTCGCGTGAATATCGCGTGATTATTTATCCCAGTGTTCCATGATATCTAAAACTGTTCCGCTACTTCGTTTAGCCATTCAGACTTCACAGATTCCATAAAGAGGATATTTTCACAAGTATTCATTGCATGTTATCCCACTATGTTCTAAGTTGACCTAAACTCTCCAGAAAAGTGAAAAACAAAACGTCTCCCAGGAAAAATCAGGGTTTTCGCAGGTTGGTAGCATGGTAAACTTTCTTTCCAAGCATGGAACAAAGCAGTTTCATGGTTTCTACATTTTATCTAGCGATTTACACTATCAAAGTTACCATTTCTAAATTGACAAAATTACAATTCTTTTTTTGGGTGCCCATAATTATACCAAAACGGGCTGTTTAAGTGCATGCCACTATTTACATGAACTGTTAACTATGTTTGTGTCATGTATACTATTGAATGCCCTCATCCAGATTTGGTTTCGAGATACAGTTTGAAATTTAAGAGAATTACCAACAAAACGTTAAAACAAATAATGCCAATGAACATTGAGGTTCTGCGATTTAGCTTTGAAAAGAAAGGGAAGTGTTAACAATAACAAACTCGTTATTGTTTTTCGTTTTTTTCTTGCGTTCTACGTAAATTATATAAATTGATTTATAATCA